AGAACACAAAAGACGTATTATGTATGTGTACCAACTCCCCATGAGGAGTGTAATCATTATGTACTACAAACATGTACCAATAAAAACAAAAACTTAATTAAAAGAAAAGCGCAGGCCCCCAAGACCATTTCCTTTACCATTCAACATCCCTTTCCAAAACTAATCAGTATCACACATTGATATATGGCCTTTCCAGAATTTTTCTATGTACTTATAAACAACATATATATTTCTATAGACACATATATAAAAGCATACTTTGTTCTGACATAGTCGTATTTTATTATTTTGAGGGACCTGCTTTTTTCACTTAGTAACATCTCGGAGAGCTTTCCTTCTTAGCATAAGGAACATTCATTTTTCTAAATTATTCTGTATTATTCTAAAGGATAATTAATACCATAACTTATTTAAACATCTCTCCATTGACTTGATCATTTACACAAATATTACATTTGTTTTGAACATGTATTATTTTTTCTAAATATAGTACTTTTCCTATTAGAAGAAAACTGTTACATTAAAAATTTTAGTGAAGAATATTTTGCTTTCAAAAATATACTTAAATACTTTTATTTTATAGCTGCCATCAAAATGAGGATGTTAAAGTAAATGTTTTCTCTACTCCAAAAGAATATTTTGCCTTGTCTAAGTGCAGTATTAATCATGGTCTATAAATAAGTGATGCATAAGAGAAAGGGAAATTAATCACATACATATACAATGTCTTTGGCTGACAAAACATAAAGCACACGCTGAAAGAATTGCAAGCAAAAACAGATCCATAATTATAATGGACCCTATATGGGAGCCTAAAAAAATCAAGTAACAAATTTGTCATAAGAAACCAGAGAAGCCAGAAGAAAGCTATATGACATTTGTCAAGAACTGGAAGAACTGTCAACCTAGAATTCTATATCCAGCAACTCTCCTTCATGAATGAACAGAAAATACAGACATTCTCAGATGAAGAAAAACTAAAAGAATTTGTCACCACCATTCCCTAACAGAGCAGCCATTTCTGTAAAAAGAAATGAGGATGTACTGGTAAAAGTAAATCTTTTCTCTAATCAAAAAGAGTATTTTGTCTTGTCTAAGTACAGTAGTAATCACTGCCTACAATTATTAGGCAATGCTTAAAAGAAAGTAAAATGCGTCACATATACAATGTCTCTGGGTGACTATCACCTAACAATTTTTTTTGGGGGGGGGGTTTGTTGAGACAGGGTCTTACTATGTAGTTGAGACTGACCTGGAACTCACTATGTCTCCCAGGTTGGTCCCGAACTCAGTGATCCTCCTCTGCCTCAGCCCCCTAAGTGCTTGAATTACAGGTGTGCATCACCATACCCGGCCCTCACCTAACAATTTTTAATCATACTTTCCATAGAATCCTGAAGTTCTTTTGAGAACTTCTAGGCCTGTTACACTTTTGTTTCCACTCTAATTGCTTCCATATCCTACTTTAACAAAGTTTGTACTATTTGTACTCAAAATCAAAAGGCAGCCATAAAAGTATCTTACAATTTCAAATTACTTGTGCCATATAAATCTCTAATAATGATAAAATAGTTAAAATTTCTCACCATGAAATAAACAACTTACTATTTGTATATGCATGATTCTAACAAGATATCAAGATTCAACAAGCCCCATATCTCTATCAGTGTGAAACTGCAAAATACCAAAGATGACATGAAAATATTAAAGCAGATACAGAAAATAAATGACAGATTATAGTCAGAGGAGACATAGACAACTGAATTCTCAACAGCAATAATGGAAACTGGATAAAAAAAATATATAAAATATATATATAAAATTCAGGAACCAATGTTACATCATGTAAAGGTACCAGATCCCAATGATAAATGTAACTACTCCATACCTAAAAAGTACCAATAAACTTAATGAAAAAAAAGAATGATACATATTCAGTATGCTGAGAGAGAGTAATAGTTAATCTGGACTCTACACCCATAGAAACTATCCTTCAGGAAAGAGCTGAAATAATGACATACTCAAATGAACATTGACCAAGAGTCTCTACTAAGAGATCTTCATTAAAGGAATTTCTGAAGTATATCCTTCATGTAGAAGAAAATTAATCCTAGATGAAAAGCTGGAGATGCCAAGGAATAAGGAACAAACATGTTAAATATGGTGGTAAATCTCAATAAATATTGACTATATAAGCAGTAGTAATAGTCTTACAGAATTGCAAAATGATATAATTAAAACAATCAGCCTGGTGTGGTGGTGTACACCTGTAATCCCATCACTTGGGAGGCTGAGGCAGGAGGATTGCTGCATTCAAAGCCAGTCTGGACAATATAGCAAGACTCTTGTGTCTCAAAAAAGCCAAGAACAAACAAAACAAAACAAACCATCTAGTAACTACCCTCCAAGAATGAAGAGGAAATAAAGACATTCTCAGAAGAAGAAAAACCAAAAATATTTCCCACTACCATTCCCTAAAAAAATGGTCAAAGGAGGTTCTCTAAAAAGAAAATGATAAAAGGAATTGTAAAAATCAGAGAGAAAGAATAACTGGAAGGGTAAAATATAGGTAAGTACAACAGACTTTCCTTCTTTTGCATTTTAAAAATTGTGTTTGGTGGTTAAAGCAAAACTAGAACACTGCTTAATATGATTTTTCAATGAATGCACAGGAAACACTAAAAATAAACAGTGAATCATAAAGAGGCAAAGTGAGGTAAGATTTCCACATTTTACTTGAACTGGGAAAAAGTCTAGTAGGTAAAGACAGAGGAAGCAGATCTCACAAAGTATGAGAAGCCATATTTTTAAAAAATGTTACATTTCCTATTTAATTCTTGATTTTAAAAGAATTCAAGTAATGATACATTTAAATGAGCTCTCCTTTGCTTGACTTTTATGTTGCATTTAATATTGTTGAATATTTTCTCTTTAAAATCTTTCCTCTCCTACTGTTGAGGAAGTCAACCTAGTGACTATCTTCCAATTATGAATACTCAGTATTTACTCAAAACTTGTATCACTGCCTCCTGTCAACAAAATATAAAGCTCACTCCCTCACACACATCTATATTTCTACCTATAATAAAAAATTTTGCTTGCGTGAACATGATGACTCTCAAACCTGATTTATTAACCAGGATCTACCATTTTTTTTAGGCTCCATACCTGCACAGGTAGCTATCCAATGGAGGGGTACACCTAAATGTACCAAAGTTACCCTGAATCAACTAATATTAAGTTTGGCTAATAGTAAGTGAAAAATCTAAAAGAACAGTGGTTTAATAACACAGTTCAATTCTTTCAAATAAGAGTCTGGAAACAGACAATGCAGGCTAATTTGAAAGTTCTTCTCTACAACATCCTCAGGGGCTCCTGCTCCTGCTTTCCGCTGTCCACACCACAGTGTGTGGGATACAGTATACTCCCCATCTCACTGTCCAAGATGGAACTCCAATAAAAAAATAGAAACACTTCTAGAAGCAGGACAGAAGCAGGAAGAAGACACACTCCTCTCTCTATAATACACTTCCCGGAAGTAAAACATACTATCTATATTTAGTCTCATAGATATACAATACTGCTGGCAGGCTGGAAAAGTAGACATTATTAATACACAGCCAGATTGTGTTACTAAGAAAAAAGAGGGAATAGATACTGGAGGACCAAATGTACCATGGGTCAATCTGGTACAAGAGGTACCTAATTTAAAAAAGAAAGCAGAGTATGTAGTATTATAGTATGTGGAATGCATTAATATTCCAAATTTCATATTTTAATAGCAGCTTTAAAATAATATAGCCATATAACCTCTTTCCTACTCACTATCTTTCTCTATCCATTTTACTCATTTTTCTACATCATTCTTATTTCGGGTATAAAAACATTTACTGAGATAAATTTTAATCATATTGACATTTGATTACACCAACAAATTCATAAAAACTTAGGCCAATGACTGGGTTTTGTGTTTAGATCTCACTTAAATATTGACAGTGATTCCATCACAGAAGAACATTGCAGGCACGCATTAGCCTTTGGAAATCACTTAGGAGCTTCAATACTTTGAAGACTTTTCTCTGAAAGAAAAGTATCTAGATCCAATGATGCAAGCCTTTTAGAGTTGTCAATGTCATAAAGAGCCTGCTGGGACATACATGTCATAGGTTTGCCGCCACTTATGTAGATATCACAGTACATTGTTAATGTAGAATCACAGTATATTGTTCAATTCAGGAAATACAGCATTAACAACTGATAAATATTGCTATGACTAAAATAACACAGAAATCTACAATGGCTTTGAAAGAGTCAAAAATTTTTACACACATGTAGATTCTACTTAAGATTAACAAAGTATTAATTTAATTTAAAAATAGAATCAAATTCATGTCAAATTATGTTTTTAATAGTTTCTTATACCCAATCTTTAAAAAATTATCCTAGCGATATAAACAATGGAATACCATGAGTATTTTCTCTTCTTTTCTTTTTGGGTACTAGAGATCAAACCCAGGGCTTTACATATACTAAGCATGCATTCTACATACCTAGTGCCCTGTGCAATATTTAACTGAATAGCAATTATAAAGATAGCTGCCCACCACACTGCCCAATGCTTAAAGCCAACAAGGCTTCCTTGTTCCAAATGCAATTTTTAGCTTTGTCCATATTCTCCAGGGTGGACTGGAGCTTAGCATATGATACTGAGGAAGCCCTCAAGAATTCTAATTAGGGCCAGGGATTTAGCTCAGTGGTTCTGCTGCCTGCCTCGCAAGCACAAGAGCCCAGAGTTCAATCCCCAGTACCAAAACAAGAATTCTAACCAGTCTTCCTTTACTTACCTCTGGTTCTAACCCAGGATAGTGCTCTCACTGTTCTGCCTGACTCTCTAGTTGGGCATGAAATCTTAATATCATCGAAGCTAACCATAACGCCATCAAAAGTGCTAAATCTAACTTCATTAAAGTAAAAGAATATATACGTACTTATTAGCTTACCCTTATTCCCTGGTGGTTGTAATACATCTCCTGTCAGGCAACACCATCCAACTGGGAAAATTTCTCTAGAATCATACTTGCACCAATAATCAAATGCTCCACTCCAGCCATCAAACGTGATGTAAACTTCATCTCCTTTAACATCTGCAATTGTTGCTGGGCAGATGAAATATGGGTTCTTTCTGTCAGTAGCTTCCAGTTTCATCCCCACTTTAAAATTATTTAGGGGTGGCTTTGGTGGTTCCTACCAAAATATTTAAACAATTTTTCAATGTTAATATAATTAAGAACCATTTGCTTAAGTGTATTCTCTTACAACTCTTAGCAACCACAAATACTACTTTGTTTTCATTCTGTCAATTAATAAAGGAAGAAGAGTTCTCACAGACTGAAAATCTGTTCTCCATCATCTCATTTTTATTCTAGACTATAGCTAATGACTTGGAAGGAAATAAAACCAGCCTGATCTATCCATTCATTCAAAATATATGATTTCTCCACTATGTAACAAGAATTTAACATTCACTGGTGCAAAAAATATCAATGATTCCTGCTCGGAAAGAGCTTATATTCTAGCGGTGTTGGTAGTAGAGGTTAGAGACAGGAGAGAATAATGAACAAGAAAGTTTTAAAGAGAAAGTAGATGAACCTATTGAATATGAAAATAAATTGTAGGAGTGCACTGAATATGGTTAAGTACAAAGGGAAAGAACAGCAGCAGATAATATCCTAAAATAAACTCACAGTATAAAATACAGACATACCTAAATCACTCTAACGCCCCATCCTAAATGGTAAAGATGCTATATTGAAAAGCGTATTCACTGCAAACATATTTTGGGCTGCTTCTTGATATTAATTTAATTCACAAGGTTTAAAGGTGATAGATTAATGACTACCACAAGTGGTCAGTTTGCAAGCTGTGCTTGATCCTATTGGGCTGCTGAATGTATCAATTGGGATAAAGGATTGTGATTGATTTAATGAGTTGTTTTCTCTGATATTATGAAAATGAGGATGTTTATGAGTCATTAGAAACTCAAAAGCTAAAACGCAACTATATCAGGAAGATTTAAATAATACCCAGAAATTAAAGGACAACCCAACAAGAAAAATAAAAATGAGAAAACACTTAAGCAAGACACAAAGACAGATTTCCAGTTCACCAATGGCAAACAGTAGGACAAATGAGGATGAAAAGTCTGATAGTGAACCAGCAGGACACCCTGGACCCATAGCACAGGAGGTAACAAAACAGATCAATCAGACTCTAGAAAAATTCAAATCAGAAATAATTTTCCAGTTAACCATAGAGAATGTGAGCAAAATGGAAATCATGATTCAAGACTCTAGAACAGAAACTGAAAAAAAAATAGAGGAGCTCAAGACTGTGATAGAAGCCATGAAGACTCAGCATAAGAAAGACATGGAAACAATGAATGCCCAACAGAGGAAAGAAATGGAATCCATAAAACAGATTCAAACAGATATCCAGGAGATTAAAAACTCTATTGAAAGTGTACGAAACAGAATAAAAGATTGCGAAGATAGAATTTCAGATATAGAAGATAGGATAGCAGTCAGTGACCGTGAAAAAAGAGGTCTATTAAAAACAGTAAGGGATCATGAGAAATCAATCCAACAACTCCTAGACGATACAAAGAAAAATAACATAAGACTGATAGGAATTCATGAAAAAACAGGAGAAAACACAAATGATATAAAAAAGCTCTTCACAGAATTAATGACAGAAAACTTCCCAAACAGAAGGGAAGAATTAGACATACAGATAAGTGAGGCATATAGAACCCCAACTAGCCACGATCAAAAAAAATCTACACCTAGACATATAATAATCAAGATTCCAGAAATCCAACAGAAAAACAAAATACTACAAGCAGTAAGAGAAAAGAAACAAATCACATGCAAAGGGAAGCCCATTAGAATCACAGCAGACTTTTCAACACAAACCCTTAGGTCAAGGAGAGCCTGGAGTGAGGTATTCCAAGTCCTAAAAGAAAAGAATCTCCAACCTAGACTTTTGTATCCTGCAAAACTCTCTTTCAAAATAGATGGGGAAATAAAATACTTCCACGACAAAGAGCACCTGAGAAATTTCATGAACACCAAACCAGCACTGCAAGGAATTCTAAACAATATCCTAGAAAAGGACAACGAAGTTCACAATAACATGAGGCCCAACAGACCAAATCAAATAGGCAAGGCAAGAAACTAAAAGGAGATGGGAGAAAAAGTAAAAAGAGTCAAAAAAAGGACAATAACATGGCAAGAATAAGTCACAGAATATATCAGTTATAACCATCAATGTTAATGGCCTCAATTCACCAATCAAGAGAAATAGACTGGCAGAATGGATCAAGAAGCAAAATCCAACAATATGTTGTATACAAGAAACATACCTAGTGCAAAAGGAAGCCCATAGACTGAAAGTGAAAGGATGGAAAACAATTCTCCATGCATCAGGAGCACAGAAAAAAGCAGGGGTAGCAATCTTATTCTCAGATAAAGTAAATTTCAAACTAAAACTCATTAAGAGAGACAAAGAAGGACACTACATCCTTGTAAAGGGAACAATTCAAGAGGAAGAGTTGACAATCATAAACATATGCACCAAATATAAATGCCCCCAACTATATAAAACAAATATTAAGTGACATGAAAAACCAAATAAGCACTAATACAATTTTACTGGGGAATTTAAATACCCCACTATCACAAATTGACAGATCATCTAGGCAGAAAATCAACAATGAAATAATAGAACTGAACCAAGCTTTGGAACACATGGACTTAATAGATGTTTACAGATTATTCCACCCCACAAAAGCAGAATATACATTCTTTTTGGCTGCACATGGGTCATTTTCCAAGATAGACCACATATTGGCTCACAGAACAGGTCTGAATAAATGCAAAAGAAATGAAGTCATCCCCTTTATATTACCAGAACATAGTGCAATCAAGCTGGAGATCAAAAGCACAAGAAACTGTAAGAACTTCACAAGCACATGGAAACTGAACAACACTCTCCTAAATAATCAATGGATTACAGAAGAAATTAAAGAAATTAGACAGTTTTTACAAATAAATGAAAATGCCAATACAACATACAGGAATCTATGGGACACAATGAAAGTAGTTCTGTGGGGAAAATTCATAACATTGAATACCCACACTTGGAAAACAGAGAGGGCTCAAATAAACAACTTAATGATGAAACTTAGACTCCTAAAAAAACAAGAGCAAGAAAAACCCAAAGCTTGCTCAAACAAGAGAGGAAATTATAAATATCCAAGCAGAAATCAATGCAATAGAAACTAAGAAAACGATACAAAAAATAAATGAAGCAAAGAGCTGGTTTTTTGAAAGAATAAATAAAATCGACAAACCCTTAGCTAATCTTACCAAAAAAAGGAAAGAAAAAGCTCAGATTCATGCAATCAGGAATGAAAAAGGCGAAGTCACAACAGATCCAAAAGAAATCCAGAAGATCATGAATACCTAATTTGAGAACCTGTACTCCAATAAAATGGAAAACACAGAAGAAATGGAGAGATTTTGAGATACTTACGAATTACCAAAGTTGAACAAAGAAGATAAAAACATTTTAAACACCCCAATTACAGTCAGTGAAATTGAAAATGTAATCAAAAATTTACCAACAAAGAAAAGCCCAGGCCCTGATGGATTCATTGCTGAATTTTATAAGACATTTAGAGAACTACTGCCATTACTCTTCAAACTTTTCAATGAAATTGAAAGGGAAGCTATACTTCCAAATTCATTCCTGGAAGCAAGTATCACTTT